TATGAAAGCTATAACCAAATAGCCTAAGAATATGGGGGGGAGGGAGAAGGGAGGGGGAAATGGGTGGAGGGAGGGGTTTGGAGGGATCACTTTTGAGGTTTATCTTATAGGGGTACAGGTGAATCTTTCTAAGAGTAGAATGTGAACGTTTTAAAACAATAACTGAGAAAATGACATGAAGGCTGTATTGACCAGTTTGATGGAAGTATTTCGGATTGCATGTGAAAACCCCACACTGTACCCCAGAAGTGCATTATTGTACATAGTTACCATTCAATAAAAAAAAAAGAGAGAGAGAGAGAGAGAAAAAAGAAAATCCTACTCCTTTGAGCCACAGGTGCCACCCATTTTGTTTTTATTTTATACAATTTTTTTTTAGGTGATGGTTCATTAGTAACTTAAACTTTGCAAATTACAAAAAGAGGATATAACCAAAATCACAGGGCAAACCAAAACATAAGAAGACAATGACATCAAATGTGACAAAGGGTGGTATCTTCACAAGGTAGTTATCTGATCTCATCTGTTCATATTATTATTTCGAGCTCTGATGATGGCAGTGAATTATTTTGTTCTTTTTTCTTTTTCCTTTTGAGTTTATAACATCATTTTTCTCTGCTAATGATATCTTTGTTTGTTTTAAGTTAATATGAGGGTATCTCGTTCTTTTCATCCCCCAACTCGGATTCACAACTTCTGCTACTCATTTGCTGTGCTTTAGAATCTCTCTTGCAAGTGAACTTACCCCGTGGGCCAAATTGCGAACTGCCTTGGAACAGAAAAATGTGAGGAAGTCAGTATGTTGCTAAGAAGTCTTGTTAGTTTGCTACGTAAGCTGACTTAAAGTGTCAGAGAATTCTCCTTTCCCCTGATAAACTTGAGATGTATGTGTGTTTTGACCTGTATCAGTGAGTCCATTTGAATTGATTACTTTCAGGTTGCAATTTTTTTAGCCGAGTAAATATTGCACCTAATTTTCACTGTAATCGGTTAAACAAATATCTGCTGTTTGTATTTCCTTCTCTTTCAGCCCATAACTGCTGGGAGTGATTTAATGCAGCTGGAGAACAATCATTATAGCCTGGAAAGTGTGAAACAATCCCATTGTTATCTGTTGTCTTCCTAGTTTAAGGACTAATAACGTTCAGCCAATGGACTTGAAAAAAGCCTATTTTACTATAATTAAGGAAATAGCAAAAGGTAGGGGGTCTAGGGTGGCTCAGTGTTGTTCGTCTGGTGAGAGCTTGTTTCTATGAGAATTCACTTTAAGTGTGGAAAGGAAACGCTTTCATTGAAAGGGATTGTTGTGCTTCATTTTGACCCCCCCCCCCATACGATAAAAGCCCCTCTGAATGACAGCACAGATGTAGCTCATTTGGAGAAAATGAAGGAAGAGGAGAAAAGGGCTGGGGTCGGGTGAAGAAGGCATCTGTTATGCTCCTAAGTTCCCTCGGTTTTTCCTCCTTTCATTCCCCATCAGCCCTGAGGTCAATGTGGCGGGCGCCATGCCCTCCCCTCTCCCCCTGCGGCCCTGGCTCCCGAGAGAGGCGTCCCCATCCGCGGACTCGCGGCCCTGCAGCAGCCCCGCCGAGCTGCAGGGGAGGGCAGGGAAGCGCCTCCTGGGGGTCACTCCGCCCCGCGCCCCGCGCTTGCCGCGCCGGCTGGCCTGGTGCTGCATTGACTGGGAGCAGGTGCGCTTGCTGCAGAGGCTGGGAGTCGGGGGGTTTGGCTCGGTGTACAAGGCCACCTACCACGGTGTCCCAGTGGCCATAAAGCAAGTGAACAGATGCAGCAAGAACCGACTAGCATCCCAGCGGAGTTTCTGGGCTGAGCTCAACGTAGCCAGGCTGCGCCACGACAACATCGTGCGGGTGGTGGCTGCCAGCACGCGCACGCCGGCCGGCTCTAATAGCCTGGGCACCATAATCATGGAGTTTGGTGGCCACGTCACTTTACACCAGGTCATCTACGGTGCCCTAGGCTACCCTGAGGCTGGAGAGCCTCACCGCTGTGCTGGAGAACAGTTAAGTTTAGGGAAGTGCCTGAAGTATTCCGTAGATATTGTCAAAGGCCTGCTGTTTCTTCATTCCCAGAGCATCGTGCACTTGGACCTGAAGCCCGCGAACATTCTGATCAGTGAACAGGATGTCTGTAAAATTAGCGACTTTGGTTGCTCAGAGAAGTTGGAAGACGGGCTGTGCATTCAGACTCCTCTGTACCACCCAGGGGGAACGTACACCCACCGAGCCCCGGAGCTCCTGAAGGGCGAGGCCATAACGCCCAAGGCCGACATCTACTCTTTCGCCATCACGCTCTGGCAGATGACTACCAGGGAGGGGCCCTACTCCGGGGAGCGTCAGTACGTGCTGTACGCGGTGGTGGCCTACAACCTCCGCCCGTCTCTCTCGGCCGCCGTCTTCACCGACTCTCTGCCTGGGCAACGACTTGGGGACATCGCTCAGCGCTGCTGGAGGCCCTGCGCTTCTCAGAGGCCAAGTGCAGACCTTCTCTTGGCGGATCTTAACTCTTTAAAAGCTGAGTTTGACTGACTGCACACCTGTTATCAAGATAAGCTTTCGTCTTTGTTTGGATTTGTTTTTAAAGTGGACGTATAGAAGAAAACATATTCCTAGGATGGATTTTTAGAAAATAAAGTTACTAAAAAAACTTTTAGTCTGAAATGCTTTTTCTAAGACAAATGGCAAAGCTACCACCCTGATACTGAAATAACTTAGGGGACCTGGAAAAATAGACTCGGAGCCCCACTTAGGTTAATTAATTGGTAATTTATTTTACCTGCTGCAGGGGCTGCTGCTTGGAGAGACAGTCAGCACCGGGTGAGAGTGTGAGTTATCTTTTATAGGCTTTGTGTAAGCATATTACAGAAGCAAAACGTGGCTGGTTAAGGAGGGGTTACAACTTAGGTAGTCATAGATACAGCAATGCAACAATAATTAATACAGTTTCAGTTGACAATAGACACATTTCATATCACAATGGTTATGGTTATACAACAGTAATTAATCAAGTCTCAGTGAGTTTTCCAGCATTGTTCATCTACTGAGAACTTGGGGGTTTTGTGAAACTTCGGACTTTTTTCCTTGTACCTGAAGCTTGTTCTTGGCAACCCTAGAAGAAAGAAGGGGGCCCGGGAACTGTTCTCGTCCACCCTGGGGAAAGGAGGGACTTGTCTTGTTCCTGGAGTTGACTCTTGGGGGAGAAGGGAGGAGGAAGGAAATGGGCTGGGTTACAACAATACCCGTAGTTGTCTTGGTGTCAGTACCCAACAATACTCTTTAATGTAGTTATATGCTTGGTTTTCTGTAGCCAGTGTGCAAACTTTTAACACGACAGCTGTGCCCTGACTAATTCCCCATCTCAATTCCCAACTGTCCCAGATTCAACCTATTTACTTTCTCCCCTCCTGATCTCTCAGCTGCTTATAATATAGAATCACTTAGCATCTAACATCTTAACAGTTACATGGTAGTGCATTTATTCAAATTTACTGATGAAACCACTTTGTTCAAAACAGAACTGCATTGCAGAAATGCTAAAATATTATGTAAATTCACATATTCCATACCTACCACCTAGACACAAACTATATCTTTTTAATTTGTTATTTAGAAGCAAGTTCTCATTCTGTTACCCAGCCTGGAGTGCTGTGGCATGATCATAGCTCACTGCAGCCTCAAGTTCCTGGGCTCAAGTGATTTCCACCCCCCCCTTCAGACTCCTAAAGGTGGGCAGCTGGGACCTCAGATGCCCACCACCATGCCTGGCTAGCAAAGGATTGACCATGTACTTGCTCCCTTACCAAATCAATATACTTTTTAAAAAAATTACCTTTCCCCATTCCTGCCCTGACAGAATTTCTTCTTTGTAATGACCTTCATATACATATAAAATTGGCAAACTGAAGTAAACTTATTTCAAAGGAATAATATCTTAAATGACATATTTTAAACTTGTGCATTACCATGAATAGAACAATTTTGCTAAGATACTTTTAAACGGAGTTTCATTTGCCTGGTGTTTGGACTAAGAAGTAGATGACTAAAGTAAGATTATATAATGTGTGGAGAAAATGATAACCCTGAGGAAGAGTGGAATTTAACATTTGGACAGGGGAGAGCAGGAAAGAAAATTGGGTGGCCATTCTAGACTTTGAAACAACAGGTCCTGGGACAGAGGAGCTAAAGAAGGTGATTGTGATTGAATTTTATTGTTAGGACAACTTAGACTTTTTTGTTTGGTTTGGAGGCAGGGTCTCCCTCTGTCACCTTGGCTAGAGTAAAGTGGTGTCATAGGAGAGACCTCAAATTCCTGGGTTCAAGCAATGCCTCATCCTCCTGAGTAGCTGGGGCTACAGGTGCCCTCTACCATGCCTGCCTAATGTTTCTATTTTTATAGAAACAGGGGTCTCACTGTTACTCAAGTTGGTCTGGAATTCATGAGCTCAAGCAATCCTCCCCCCTTGGCCTCCCAGAGTGCTGGGATTACTGGGGTGAGCCACTGCCTGGCCCAACTTTACTTTTAGCAACAGCAGTTCAGTGAGAGGTATAATAGCCGGGAGAGGGAACAGCAGGGTTCCCTCTGGACATTGGCTGCTGAGGAAGCCAATTCCCAGCTGGACATTGGCTGCTGAGGAAGGAGGGAGAGAAAAAAAACTGTAAAGGGACGTAGGAGACCCAGAAATGATGGTAGAGTTTTGGTTTGGTTTAGTTTATTTTTAGGATCTAATATTTGTGGACTAAACCAAAGGAGACAAAAATAATAAAGCTGAAAAACTTGCAGAGGAGATGAGGCACAGTACTCAGGGAAGCAGACTGCAGCTTTGGAGAGAAGGGGCATCTCTACCCAGGATATGGGCTATGAATGGTGAGGTCTGCCATTAGGGTCCACAGAGCAAGACCACAATGCAGAACTGTTCTTTTTTTTTTTTTTGGAGACACAGTCTCATTCTCCTCAAACTCTTGGATTCAAGAGATCCTCTTGCCTCAGCCTCCCAAATAGCTGGGACTACAGACACAGGATCAGTTAGTTTTTCTATGTTTAGTAGAAATGGAGCCTCATTCTTGCTCAGGCTGGTCTTGAACTCCTGAGTTCAGGTAATCCACCCACCTTAGCCTCCCAGAGTGCTAGTGAGAGGGATACCCGAGAAGGGTCAGGTCTGGGAGAACAGGTCTTCTCAAGGAGACCACAAGGATACACCTGCAGGGTCCTCTCCATGGTTACTCAGCTCTCGGGAATTTGTAAACTTAACTTCCTGGAACTTGGAAATTTCTACTTCTGTGAAATCCTATAGTTCTGTGGGGGCTGGACTGGCCAAGGAGAAAGGTACCTATGAGCACCTCATGAATGAGCTGTCAGTGAGGTACATGAGGAACCGCTGCTAAAGGTGTTAAAATCCAGAACTGATTCCCAGAATGCACATGGCCACAGCTTAGATTCAAAGATCATGCCCCCTTCCAGAAACCACACAGGTCACAAGGTAAGCAAGGGACAATAACCCCTGTGAACACCACAGTCAGTGAAAGGAGGAGAGCAAACAACCCCCAAATAGACAAGTATATGGTGATGCCTGAGACTGGACAGAGCAGAGAGGAAAGAATGCAGGGAATATAGGTGATAGGTGAGGGGTAGGTGGCAATCAAGAGATCCAGCAGGGACAGATTCTAGAAAGACTGCAAAATTCCATTCCCCAGGCAACAGGTGCCCACTGGGAAGTGCAAGTGCAGAAGTTGGGAAGGACACTCCTGAGGACAGGGCCAGGTCAAACAGCTATTTGTAAGATTTGGTGGAGAAAGAAGAAACTGAAGAAACTGTTAAGAAAGATCCAGCCACACAGAGCTCAGAAAATCGGAGCAAAACTCAGCTCCTGGACATGAGAGGGTCACCCTGGGGCAGGCGCAGGGATCCTAGAAGCACAGAAACCTCCTGAACCCAGTTTGCTTTGGAGAGAGAGAAAGTTGTGGCAGCAAGGAGGAACAGCAAGGCAGCATTTGAAGAAAGCAGGCAGAGAAAGGAAGTCTGGGGTTGCTGAGAGACCCCCTGATGGGAGATGGCCTAGGGCTCTCACCACTCCAACAGTAATAGCTGAGAAGGACATTATTTAAAGCTGACATACCAAGTCAGAGGTACAGGCACATTTAACAGTAGGGTGCACAGATAAATATTATAAAAGATAATACTACCAACTGAAATTATGGTGGGGAAGAGGGAAAAGATACGAGCTGTCGTGACTCATTGCTCATCAAGGTAGTGAAGACATAGATGCTGCCTGGGATAAGGGGATTATATCCAGACAGATGACAGAACTGAGGAATGATAGGCACACATAAAATCAAAATGGTAACAAAACTAGAAAAGGAAAAGCCCCATTTATCTGGAAATTGAAAAACTCTTAACCAACTATGTGTCAAAAGAAAATGTTAATCAACTCTGTACCAATAATGAAAACACTTTTATCAAACCCATGAGATAAAAATAAAGCAGTATAAAATTTGCAGTCTCAAGTGCTAATAAGAATAAAAACAAATAATTTAAAAATATGGTCAAAATTAGAAAAAAACAAAAAAGGGAGACATTTTTTAAAAAAGAATTAAAACAGACATAATGAGTTAAAAGAAATAGAACAAGCCAACGAATAAGTAAAACATTTTTTTAAATAAAAACCAAAACAAATCTTAGCTAACTTAAAAGAAATAAAATCCTACATACACAAAATTGGAATAATGATCAAAACAGAGGAAATTTGTTTTTAATTTTAGGAAACTTTATATAACTATAGAAATAAATTTGAACATCTAGAACAATATAATTTTCTAGGAAACTATAATTTACCAAAACTGGTCCCAGTGAAGACAGAAAGTCTAAACAGACTGATTCTTTCTTTCTTTTCTTTCTTTTTTTTTTTTTTTTTGCCTCAGAGCTGTCCCCCCTTGTAGAGTGCTATGGCATCATAGCTCATAGCAACCTTAGACTCTTGGGCTCAAGCAATTCTCTTATCTCAGTCTCCCAAGTAGCTGGGACTACAGGCCCCTACCACAGTGCCAGGCTATTTTTAGAGATGGGGTCTTGCTCTAGCTCAGGCTGGTCTCTAACTCATGAGCTCAGGTGATCCGCCTGCCTCCCAGAGTACTGTGATTACAGGTATGAGCCACCTCGCCCAGCCACAATTCTTAAAGAAGTAAATAGAGTTGTCCAATCTCTTCCCCTACCCTGAGGGCATGAAGGCTCAAAGTCTCAATGACTTCTATTAGACATAAACACCAGGTTATCTTGAAGCTACTGAAATTATTCCAGAACACAGGAGGAAAGTTTCCAAATTCCTTTTAAGAATAACATTTACGGCTCGGCGCCAGCCACATACTCCTAAAGTGGCATTTTGAATCCAGCCCAGGCCTGCCAAACAACAATGATGGTTGCAACCAAAAAATAGCCAGGCATTGTGGTGGGCACCTGTGATCCCAGCTACTTGGGAGGCTGAGGCAGGAGACTCGCTTGAGCCCAGGAGTTTGAGTTTGCTGTGAGCTGTGATGCT